GGGACCCAGCCGGGATCAGAGCTGGCAGCACCTCTGAGCGCAGGCAAGGCGTCCGCTGGCCACACTGGCTGGGAAATGTCAGAAAAACCAACACAATCACATTCCACCAGAAAACCCATAGAGCGGTAGCGGGGCTTGGTGCCACCCAAGAGATATAATTATGGGTAATGTTACAGGAAAGGGGTTCCTAGTTACCGAGGCTGTTAAATAATGCTGAGGTATAAAATATGTTGTGTTTCTTTTCCCTTTACAGAAAGCAGAAGCTACTGGTGAAAAGCGACCCAGAGGCCGGCCCAGAAAATGGGTAGGTATTTCACTTCCAAACATTTGATTTATTTGCTGTGTTATAAAGTGTGTTATAAAGTCCATTCTTCTAAGGAACAATTATTTCTGCTTCATTTGTAAAAAAGAGCATCCATCTTCTGCATCTGTTTGTTCTTGTGGATTGACTAAAGGGTTAAGATAGCAGAGAAGTTAACCACAGCTTCCCACCTTTAGACTCTGGTAGTTTGCTCAAGACACTTTACTATTAAATGTTTGCTGGGAGTGAATATTTATGTGTCTCTTATCAGCATGGAAAGAGGCACAACTCTTCCTTCAAAAGAGGGTAACAATGAGATAACTTGTTCAGTAATTGAGTAACAAAGGTTAAAGGGGCACTACCAGACACCAGAAGGTGATTAAGAGAGGTGATAACATTCAGATGTAGTGTGCACGAGATAAAGTGTAAAAACTGAAACGTCTTTGTCCTACATTGCCTGGAAACACAGCGCATATTCCTTAAATCCATTGAGAAAGAACAAAAATGAACAGCGGGATACTTACACTTAGAATGAAGTTTTTCCATTCTGGGCCATTCACGCCTTGTAGTGACTGGTAATACCTTTCCTGAAGTGTCCTCTTTTTTTTGTAGATGTGGCTATCAGACACAAGTGTTTTGTTTCTTTGGCCATGGAAATGTTTCAGTCTCAGATGCTTGAAGTCCTGTGTTCTCACCGATGCTTACAGCTAAGGAGAGCCTGCCTTGTGCACCTCTCCTCCGCGTGTCTTTCACTTAATGCGTACGCTTTTCGAAAGAAAAGTGATGGGGAACGTCACTGGGAAAACGTGATTGGATATTAGAAGATATGAAGGTGTGGCCGTGTGCTCCGTCACAAATTAACATTTCTGATTTCCCTTTTCCAGTTCACTTTCCCTTTTTCTGGTCAGTGTTTTTCTTTAAACTTCTTTTTCGAATCCATCCCTCCCCATCTTAGTTTTGCTCCCTTATTTTACTTTGCCTTCTCTTTCCTCTCTGCAGTCCTGTCATTTTTTCCCCTCCTTTTGTTCAGTTCATTTGCATCAATGTTAACACAGCTGTTAAAAGTAGATGCTTGGGAAAGCTTGAACAGCACCATAAAGTACTTAAAACTACAGCTGATGTTGTCTGGAGTATCGGCAGCGAAACACAGGAGAGATGGCTTTACCAGTCACCATAAGAACTAGTTCTGTAGCGTTGTCCAGCGAGAAAGTACCCCAGGATATTTCTCTGGAGAAAAAAGACCGCTGGATACTAGATGTATGTCTTGTGCCTGTAGTTTTGAAGTCAGGCAGGTTTCAGGTACACAAAGAAGCTCGTTGGAGTTGAGAAGAAGATGGCATTTTCAAACCTGTGTGTGCTGGTGATCTTCTCAAAGGCAGCTTTGCAGAAGGCAAATGCCAAGTGCAGTAAAACACGGATCGGTTGCTGCCTGCTTCCTCCCGTCCGGCTCGGAGCTTGCGCATGCGGGTGCTGAGCATTGCTTGCTTGATCCTCGCTTTGGGTGCAATCCCAGGGGAAGCAGCAGAAAGCGCTGCTTTATGAGGGTAGTTCATAACAGGCAGGCCATCCCCGCTGAATTAGGCGTGTGCGACAGTTGAATAGGGGTGGTCACATTGCTCTGCGAAAAGGGAAAATGCAGCAGTCTGAAATGGTAAAAGATTTTCCCTCCCAAGCGCTCATAGTCAGAAACTAAGGTGAGTTTACAGGCAGAAGGGCTCAATATACCACTTGTGGCATTTTTTGGGCTACAATGTTTCCCTTTTATTTTTGGTATCTTTATGGGGAAGAAAGAATAGGCAGTATCAAATGGAATGTTATATTCAGCGCACAAACTTCAGTGAAGTCCTTTGTGCTTTTTCTCTTCCTTAATCCAATTTATTTATATATCAGGCCTTAATGATGGCGGTTCTGTATCCATGAAAGTAAGGAATGTGTAGATTTTTTTTGTTGGAGAGGGCAGAATTCTATCAGGTAGGTGTTTTCCTAAGTTTGTAACCCTTTTTTGCAAGTCTAGATGTCTGTGTCATATGTTGTTCATCAAATTGTAAAGTATTATTTCTGCTGTTTCCTTCAATATGCACATGCAGAGACGTATGAGCTAACAGCCCACTGTAGCATTCCGGTAGCCGGTCTTTCTGCCGGTTCAAATTAACTATTTAATGTTTGTGACTCGCAATGTATTTATTTATATATTATTTTTTAGAAGAGTAGTAACTCTTTTTGACTAGTATAAAACTAGGAAGGGGAAGGGAGAGCCCAAGTCAGGAGGGCAAGGAGCCAAGTTTATCACAAGCGTATGAGAACATCAAGTGATCTTTTTAATGCAATAATGTGTACTTTGCAAAGTTGTCAAGGAAAAGAAGACCCTTGTCAGTAGGACAGACAGTAAAGATTGACAAACTCTCCTGAAAATAAAATACTCAGCTACATAGAAAAGCTTTCCAAATGTGGAAAGCTGAATGAATAAACATCCTGAAGATGGCAAGGATTACACAGGTGGGACGTGAACGAATTTGGAATCAGAAACACAGTGTCTGCTGCTGTAGAACTCATCTTCACTGTAAGTTGCTGCACGCGTGTGAAGTGTGTTGAAAGCTGTGAGTCCTGTTAACTAGGAGGGAGGTAAACCTCTTCATGACCTTGCTACGCCTGAATTTTAGAGGTTTTAATGCTGAAACATGTTCTAAGCTCGCTGGATGCCTGTACGTTAGCGTGTTAGGTCAAATTGGGAGTGTGCTTTGGAAATTAATCTCCTAATTGTCCCCACTCACAGTATGTATCGTGGAGCAGTCCCAGAGCTCGTGGGCTGGATTCCTTTCATGGGAAACCAAATTGGATCCAGTAGGCGTTCAACCTATAGGACTAGGCTGGAGTGGAGTAAAAACCTCTTCAAAGGTGCATGGTGGACCTTAGGTCCTCAGCACCAGCTTTTTTTCTCCTGCTGGTCCACATTGTCTGTGCATTGTAGACATAGTCTTTGAGGCTTGCAAAAAGCAGATGAAGCAACTTGGTTTTTATTAGCAGAATTATTTTATGTAGCATAGGCATGAAGTCAAATTCATAGCCGTGGAGATTCACATTCCCAGAAGTCGGTGGAAGGTTTATCATTCATTACTGAGACCTGATGCTGCTGCTTGTTGCCAATGGCTTCCCATAACCCTGTGGAAAGAGCTCACGGTCAAAGGTTTTTTATTTTATTTTTTCGTGTATGTTTAGAAGTTGTCTGAGAGGGGGGACTGAAAGTCTAGGAGTAGAGCAATTATTCTGCTGTTTGTTCCAAAGAACTGCACTGAAATTTCATAGACTTCTGATGCTCTCAGGCATCAGTTTAACAGCAAAACCTGAAACCCAGTTCTGAAGCTGATGCTTAAAAGTGTATTTATTGTTTGTTTTCATAGTTTTTGTTATGTCTTCAGATAGATATTTGACATTGTTGGATTTCACCTCCACATTATTTAACGTGAACCACAGATTCGCTGCATGGCATGGCAGAATTGCTCAAAAAATCAACGAACCGTCCAGAGCTCTTTACAGCTTTGAGCAGGACTTTGGTGGGGAGGAGAAATGGCTGATGACATGCCATGGAACTGTTTCAAAGGTTGGAAAGATGCAGTTGTGGAAGCTACAAGAGTATAACAGCAGAAGAGAATCAATGAATTTCCAAGCCTGGGGGGCATGTGCAGCATCCGTGTGCACATCTTGTCACTGGTGCCCAAGTAACAACTGTGACTTGTTCAGAAAACCTTGCTCATTTTCAAGAATTTTGTTCTCTGCTAGATAGTCTAGACAGCACAGTTCAGGTTCGTAGAAGATCAAAGATAATCAGAAATTAACTTAATTTCCTTAAGCAGGAGCTAGATCTGATCCAATCATTATCAGCTAGATGTTATAGTACTCTTGAAGCTCAGGTTTTCCCCTTTTTAATGAGGGCAGAGTTCCACTTTATACTGAAAGTCAGTTTAAGCAGTGCCAAACCATGTTTAAAAAATATCATGACAAAAATGCTTTTTTTTCTAGTAACTTTTTCCCCAGATTATTTCCCACTGCAGTTTTGACATAGCTGAGATATCAAACTTTAAATACGGAATTTGCAAGATGGTTCTATGCCAGCAATTCCAGAAGGCCTGTGTCAGGGGAAGGACCCCTAATCCTTGTTCACTTGTAAGATTTTGAAAATGAGGTTCTGGATTTTGAAGGAGTGCATGTCAAGAAAACCTTGTCGCCTCAGAAGACGCGTTGATGTTTTGAGGCTATTTCTTGCCCATAATGAGTTTTTGCAAGCCAGTATCTAAGTAGGAGTTTCTGTCTGGTAGTGCCTTGCTCTGTGATGTGAAGCCGTTTAATCAGTTTTGCTTATTTTTCATTCAGTGCAGTCGTTTTTGTCGCATGTGAAGTCATAGTCTAGGAGGTGCTTAAAATCACGCAGGCTTCTTCACTGGGCGGTGGAGAGAAAAAGATGCTCTGAGATCATAGCCCATCCTGCCTAAAAAAGGCTTTCTTATAGGTGAGGTGAATTCTTGGCTGCAGATGGCAATCTTTTGCCATTGGGAAGGGCAACCTAGATGATAAAATAAGACTGATATCTGACTTGTAGATGGCAGAAGCTGTGCGTGAGAGATCCTGCTCTTTGATGCCATGGTGATTACCAGTGCATCCCTAAGCTAGGGGGATGTGCGTGAGAGATCCTGCTCTTTGATGCCATGGTGATTACCAGTGCATCCCTAAGCTAGGCTAGAGATTCCACTGTTACAAGAACATATGTTTGCTTAAATGAATTACTTCATGGTCCATTTGGAGCAAACCATGATTGAGGTAAAACTTAAATCACATGTATTGGATGATGAATGAAAAAGGAAGTTGCTATTTATGTAATTACAGAAGAAAGCCCAGATAGAAATTCAGTTCCTTGTACTTGGATGAATAGTGTAATTTCAGTTACAGTTACGGAAAAGTCTTTCCAACTTTTGACTGTAATATCTGTGGTGTTACTACTTCATGCAAAG